ACCTGATTAACCGAATTTAAAAAGCATACTGTAACTTAGGAGTAATTTATATCAAAAAGAAAAGTTATACAAAGGCAATAAATGAACTTAAAGAAGCAATAAGCATCGACCCGGAGTTCAAGGAGGCATATTTCAATCTTGGTCTTGCTTACTTGAGACTTGGTAGATTTGATGACGCTAAGAATGCCGCTAATGATTCTAAGTGCCACTACAAATGCATCAAATTATGAAGCAGCAAAAATGCTTAGAGACTCTATCGCTGATTAATTTGACTTGAAGCGGCAAAAGGTTGACATCGGATTAGATGTGTATTACAATGAGATCGCAAATCTCTACAAAATTTTAAGATTCCTTCAAAATTATAAGGGCTTGAGTAATATGAAAAAAATATATCTTCTTCTTTTGGTTTTTATGTTTATAACATTGTTATTTTCTCAAAAGTGTTTTGCTCAAAATTCTACACAACTGAATTTGCCAGAAGGAGCCAAAGCACGACTTGGAAGAGGGTGGATCAGAGACATAGAGTTTTCTCCTTTAGGAGATCAACTCGCCGTGGCTACTACGATTGGAGTTTGGATCTATGATGCCCGCACAGGAAAAGAACAAGCACTATTTTCTGGCGTTATGAAAGATGCTGTAGCATTATCATATTCTCCTAAAGAACCGAAACTTGCAGTAGCACATCGGGATCATACAATCAGATTATGGGATGTTATCAACCACAACCATAAACCTATTTCCACTTTTAGAGGGCATACTAGAGAAATATTTACTGTTACATTCTCACCTGATGGCACAATGATTGCAAGTGGAAGTGCAGACAAAACCATTCGAATTTGGAACCCAAAAGCTACTAAAGACAGCGACAAACTTATTGCAATCCTCCCATATAGTGATCACATTATCTCGGTTTCATTTTCTCCAGACAACCTAATGTTAGCAGGAGGATGTGCAGATGGCACAATCCAAGTCTGGAATACAGGGACTGGAGATCTCATATACGCATTCAATGAAAAGCATTCTGGCTCAATTAGCGAGATAGATTTTTCTCCAGATGGTAAAACAGTAATCAGTGCAAGTTTAGATGGCACTGTCCAATTATGGAGCCTTGTTACGCCGGGTGGAAGGCTTAGTAAACCTTTAAATCACAATTCCGCTGTTTTAGCAGTAGATTTCTCACAAGATGGACACAATTTTACTACAGCCTCTGCTGATAGACACATTAGAATCTGGAACTCAAACACCAAAGACCTTGTAAATACACTTAGTGGGCATAAAGACATAGTTGCTTCTGTAAAATTATCACCAGATGGCATAAATCTTGCGAGTGGTAGTTTAGATGGAACAGTCCGTTTATGGGACGCTCGTCTCGGTCACCAAAGGTTAAAACTCACTGGACATACTGGTGGAGTCAAAGCATTGGTTTACACTGAAGATAACCGCATTCGTGCATGTGGTACAGGATTAGATGGAAAATTAAGGTTGTGGGATGCGGGCACAAGTAGTGAACTTTCAATCCTACAAGAGCATACCGGATTGACACAATCAGCCACATTCTCAAAGGATGGGAAAATTCTTGCCAGCGGGGGTAGTGAAAATGGCACAATTTTCCGATCTATTGTTCTTGAGGTTCTTAAACACAGTGATGAGAGTCTGTTGAAGGCTCTGACAGGAAATTTACACGGTGTTACTGCACTTGCTTTTTCGCCTGCAAATAGCATACTCGCGAGTGGGGGATCCGATGGGAAAATTCATCTATTGGATGTGAGTAATGGCGAAACCTTGAAGATTTTAAGAGGAGCTCAAAGTACTATTACATCCTTAACCTTTGTACTTGACAGCACTCATCTATTAAGCGGTGAAGAAAACGGAACTGTACGGACGTGGGATTCACTTACCGGTGAAGAGGTAGGAGACGGTTACGTTGGTTCGTTCAGTGCAATTACTGCCTTAGCATTCTCTCCTAACATTCGCTTTCTTGCCATCGGAGATATGACAGGAGCAGTCAGTCTTTATGATTATGTTAATAAACAGGTAAATTCAGTCTTTACTCAACACACCCACAAAATCACATCACTAATTTTCTCCGAAGATGACTCAACACTTGTCAGCGGAAGCGAAGATGGCACAATTCTTCTATGGAACATGAGTGAATTACTTCAAAATAAAGATGAACAAGAAAACTCCCCAGGAAGAGTTATTATACCCAAGCAAACTTTTTCCGTACCGGACAATAGCAAACCTGAACAAAGTGCCCAAGAGATTGCTCGAAAAGCTTTAGCATCTACAGTATATCTTAAGTTGCTTAATTCCAAAGGTGATATCGTAGGATATGGAAGTGGTTTTTTCGTAGATATTGATAAACTTGTGACCAACTATCATGTTGTTGAAGGTTCCACATCAATATTGGCTAGACAAATTGGCAAGAATGATTGGCACCTTATTGAAGACACTATTACCACTGATCAAGACCATGACTTAGCAATTCTAAAACTCTCAAGTATTACTACATCTTCCTTGGATTTAGCAAATAGCGATACAGTACAGACTGGAGAAACAGTCTATGTTGTAGGTAACCCTAAACAATTAGAAGGAACATTTTCTAAAGGTATCGTCAGTGCTCTTCGTACCCACGGGAAAGGCAAATTGATCCAAATAGATGCTCCTATTTCACCTGGCAGTAGCGGTGGAGCAGTACTTAACAATAGAGGAGAAGTAATAGGTATTGCAACCTCTGTTCACGCAGGCAAAAATGCCCAGAATCTCAATTTTGCAGTCCCATCAAATTATCTCAAGGAACTACTAAACAAGGTAAAATAACCTTCTAACAAAGTAAACAGCGGCATTGGTTGAAAGGTGACTCTTTCCTCCGATGCCGCTGGTCATATATTTCTCTATTTCTGAATTACCTAACTTTCCACATTATACCAAATACCAGCATATGCAGTTTACCATATATTGGATTGGATCAAGAAATCTAACTCTATATTCTAACCCTCAGGTCAGGGTCATTTAGTTTTCCGAATATTTAGATTTTCAATTTAAGACCCTCCGCTGTCCGAGCGATCTCCGAATCGCGACTTTTCGGAAACCAAAATGGACAAAAAGCCTAAAACTAAATAACCCTGCCCTCAGGTAAAAATCACTTGACAATATATCTTATATGTGTTATAATTAAAATCGGTCAATTGTGAAAATGGTGGGATGGCTGAGTGGACGAAAGCGGCGGTCTTGAAAACCGTAGTGGCGCAAGCCACCGTGGGTTCGAATCCTACTCCCACCGCCACTAAATATCTGGAGAGGTGCAGGAGTGGTTGAACTGGACTGCCTGCTAAGCAGTTATGGCGCAAGTCATCGTGGGTTCGAATCCCACCCTCTCCGTTTTTGAACTTATACGCAGTGTGGATTGGTGTCGCACCTAACCATGGTAGATGCAGTTTCCTAACCGCACCGGGGTTATCCGTTCTATAAGTTTATAGGTTGGGTTGAACGAAGTGAACCCCAGTCAATAACCCCAAGCTAAAGCATGGGGCTTGTGCGAAGCGCATACCAAGCGTTCACTCCACAAGTTAAACCGTTGTACTACAGTAAAATATCGTGGTATCTTGGCGTGGTAGCCAGCACGATGTTTCGGATGCCCCCCAAGTCCGATTCCTCTCGGATACTGTGATCTGGATGGGGCAACAGACACCCGGAAAGGGAGAACGCAAACTTATGTTTGTGCATATTAGGGATTTAGTTTTCGTTATATTTTGATTGGAAACTAAATCCTAAACCAAAAATAAAAGGAGCGGCTTTCCTCCCCAACCTAAAGGATGGGGTCTCCAGCCCGAAGAGTGATGAAATCGTATTTTGGTCGATGCTATTGGCGAAACACGCGCCTGTAGCTCAGTGGATTAGAGCATCTGACTACGGATCAGAAGGCCGGGGGTTCGAATCCTCTCAGGCGCTTTGCAAATCTTGGGACATGCCTTGTGAGCACTCAAGAATTAGAAAAAGTAAAATCACCGTCAAACTCCCTTCCCGATAAGCAAATTTTGGACAGTGATGTCTTCTGGATGCAGCAGGCACTTGAATTAGCACGGAAGGCGGTAGAAATAGGTGAAGTTCCTGTCGGTGCTATACTTGTTAAGGATGATACCTGCATAGCAGCTACCCATAATCTGAGGGAACAATCTGGAAACCCAATCGCACATGCCGAAGTACTTGCAATACAAGAAGCATCGCAAACACTTGGCAACTGGCGTTTGACAGATACTACATTATATGTAACATTGGAACCGTGTCCGATGTGTGCTGGTGCGATTGTTCTGTCGCGTATTCCTAAGGTTGTCTATGGTGCCTCCGACCCAAAAGCAGGTTCAGCTGGAACACTCTATAATATCGTTCAAGATGAGCGATTAAATCACCAAGTTGAATTAGTCAGCGGAGTCTGTGCAGAAGAGAGTAGTGCACTGTTGAAATCATTTTTTAAGAACCGTCGTTGACAACTAATACTCAATTAACCTGATTTGTAGTGTGAGGTCCCCGTGCCTTGCAATACTGACTTTATCAGATAACCTGATTTGTAGTGTGAGGTCTCTGGGTCCTCCTCGCAATACTGACTTTATCAGATAACTTCTAATCAAGTTAATTTGGTATAAGTGGCAACTCTTAAACTGATAACCGAATGCTAATAGCCAATAGCAATATATGGAGAGATGCAGGAGCGGTTGAACTGGACAGTCTCGAAAACTGTTGTGGCGCAAGTCACCGTGGGTTCGAATCCCACTCTCTCCGTTTATGATTGAATGTTATGTGTTGGTACGGGTTGTTTGTTAGTCCTTAACTTTGTTATGATTATCTTGGGGCAGTAGTTCAGTTGGGAGAGCGCATCCCTCGCACGGATGAGGTCACGGGTTCGAATCCCGTCTGCTCCACTTTTTACTACATCTTCCGGAGAGATGCAGGAGTTGGTTGAACTGGCATGACTGGAAATCATGTGTGCTGTTTTGCAGTACCGTGGGTTCGAATCCCACTCTCTCCGCCAGTTTTAGGAGCAAGGTCGGTTTTTAACGTGTCAACTGACCGTTTTTCGACAGATCTATCTTACATTCGATGAACAAATTTAACGACTTGGTATGCTAGGTGGGGAGATAGCGGTGCCCTGTATCTGCAATCCGCTAAAGCAGAACTGAATTCCCAGTATGCGGCCTGTCTTTGTGGGGACTGTCCCAAGCACGTAGCGTTGATAGTTGGGTCTTGAGCAACGAGAGTTTGTTGAACCCCGTCAGGTCCGGAAGGAAGCAGCGGCAGACAAGCGATCTCGTGTGACGCAAGGTAGCCTAGCTTGAGCTAACGACTTGGGCAACGCCCGGAAAGGCTTGTCAACACTGGGTGCATAGCCATTATACCAAATTAACTTGATCCCACTCGGTGGGTGCGGTTTCTAACCGCACCTAATACCAAGAAAATGAGATAAATCAAGTTAATTTGATATTGTATACGTATTATGAGCGATGTGTTGGGTATATTATGTAGGTTGGGTTGAACACCGTGAACCCAACATTGTGCTAAAAAAGTTGGGTTTCGCTGTGCTCTACCCAACCTACGGACTATGCGTAATAAGAACAGAATTCAATATTTGCCTGTCTAAGGTTTGAAGCATGTCATACGAAGTTTTCGCACAGAAATGGCGTCCTCAGTACTTTCGAGATGTTGTTGGACAGGCGCACGTAACCGCCACGTTACAGAACCAAATTCGGTCCGAACGTCTCGGTCATGCATATCTATTTTGGGGACCGCGAGGAACCGGTAAAACGACAGTAGCACGTCTCTTTGCCAAAGCTGTCAACTGCCTCAACCCCCAGCAAGAAACAGACTTAGGTCCAGTTATTACGGGCGAACCGTGTAACGAATGTGACGCATGTAAAGAGATTACACAAGGTTCATCCTTTGATGTCAGAGAGATGGACGCTGCTTCGAATCGCGGAATTGACACCATCCGCGATCTACGCGAAAATGTCAAACTCTCTCCTGCTGCCTATAAATATAAGATTTACATCATTGATGAAGTCCACATGCTCACTACGGAAGGGTTCAACGCGCTTCTCAAAACCCTTGAGGAACCGCCATCACATGTCATATTCATCATGGCGACTACCGAACACGCCGAAATACCAAAGACTATCACCTCCCGTTGTCAAGATTTTGATTTTAGACATCTCATCCCCGACCAGATTATTTCCCGTTTACAACTTATAGCCGATACCGAAAAGATTTCAGCGGATAGTGAAGTACTATCGCTCATTGCCCGTCAATCCGAAGGATGCCTTCGTGATGCAGAAAATCTCCTTGAACGGTTGGTTACATCAACGGGGAAAGATTTAGTGCTCGCTAATATTGAAGAGACACTCGGACTTGGTTCAAGTTCTCTTCTTTACGAACTTACGGAGGCAATTGTCGGACGAAATCTCAATTCGGGTCTCGCTGCATTAAACCAACTCTCTGTTCAAGGAATGGATTTGACACAATGTCTTCACTATCTCATCACCTATTTCCGTGACCTACGGCTACTCGCTATTGACAACCAACTTGATGAACTTATCCAGAGTCCAAATCTGAACTTTCAGCACTCAAGGAAAAAGCAGAACAAATTCCAGTTGATCGGTTGACTCGAATCATTAAGATACTGATGCATGCCAACCACGAAATTAAAGAATACGGGTATGCCCAATTGCATCTTGAGAATGCGTTAATTCAAATTAACGCTGTCAAAGAAGGGATTCAACTTGAAGAAATAGTCAACAAACTTGTTGCGATAGAGCAGAAAATTGCCAGTACCGAAACGCAATCTGAATCCACACCAAATTCCACATTCCACGGTACCCAAAGGAATCCTACAATTGAACAGATGTTCAAAGTAGATAGTCCTATACCGTCTTCACAAGAAACGAAAACGTCATCCCAAACAGTTCCAAATCCTGATACAGAGATCCGCACCCCGGATCCAATTATTGATCAGTCTCCCCAAACAACAGTTCGGAGTTTAGATGAACTATCTGACATTTGGACTGAAGTGAAATCACGACTTCCACGCATATTAGCCCTCGGGTTGTTTGAGAAGGCAGTTCCAACGACAGATGGAGAAGACCGCATAAAAATCGCTTGCCCTCAAGCAAGTTTTTCTTTAGCTGATGAAGGAAGCAAAGCAGGACATCACAAAAATTTTTATTGATGTAATCGGAAAACCGGTTCAGATTGAACTTGTTAAAGAAGATGTAGTGCGGCAACAAAGGATACCACTGAAACATCTGAGGAGGAAGTAAAAACAACACCGCTGATGCGTAAACGTCAAGCCGAAGAGGACGAACAGATCCGACGTGTGCTTGATCAATTTGACGCAAGAATATTAGAAACGTAGATTGAGTCCATACAAGACTGAATTGTGTATTTACATTTGAAGGAGATTATTCCAGTTCTATATTGAGAATTGGTCTATTTTATTATTATGAAAATGAATGATTTAATGAAACAGGCGCAGCAGATGCAAAAACGCATGCTCGAAATCAGAGAAGAACTCGCTAACCAGACTATTGAAGCAACCGTCGGTGGTGGAATGGTCACTGCTGTTGTCAATGGACAACAGGAACTTGTTTCAATTCGCATTACACCAGAAGTCGTTGACCCCGATGATACAGAAATGCTTGAAGATTTAGTCGTCGCTGCTGTGAATGAGGCGTTACAACAATCACAAGAACTGATGTCTGACGAGATGAGCAAACTCACCGGTGGGCTAAAAATACCAGGACTTCCGTAACGACGTGTTGAAGGGCAGTAATTTTTTAAGAGTCTGTCATAGTATTCAACCGAAGTAGTAGGCGAAAACATGCAGAGTTATCCGCAACCGTTGGAGCAGCTCATCATGCAGCTCCAGAAACTTCCAGGCGTCGGTCCCAAAACAGCACAACGTTTAGCTTTTTTTATGCTAACACTACCCGACATGGAGACCAACCAAATCGCGGAAGCAATCTTGGAAGTAAAAAAAAGATTGTCGGATTGCAAAATATGGGTACTATCACTGACATTAACCCCTGTCAGATATGTTCAAATCCGAGACGTGACCCACAGAAAATCTGTGTTGTTGAACACCCCAACGATCTATGGGCAATAGAAAGAACCGAAAGTTATAAAGGACTTTATCATGTTCTCGGAGGCGTTTTATCACCATTAGACGGGGGTAGGTCCAGATTCGCTGAGAATAGAGACCCTCTTTAACCGTGTTCACAATGGTACTGTCAAAGAGGTAATCCTTGCTACAAATTTGGATACAGAAGGGCAGGCAACTGCTCTATATCTTACCCAGAAACTTGAACAGTATCAAGCATCTGTTACCAGAATTGCCTACGGTATTCCTGTTGGGGGAGATTTAGAATATATTGACCAAGTGACCCTCGCGAAGGCTTTGGAAGGCAGACGCGTGGTGTAGTAATTGTGAAAATAAAGGTAATTTACTTATACCCGATTTGCAGTGCAAGGTCTCTGGGTTCTTCTTGCAATATTGACTTTATCAAGACTTCTAATTTAGTTAATATGGTGTGATATACAGTGTTTGTAGTTTCAGATATTTCTTGTAGGAGGGCTTGCAAGCCCAATTTATGACAATAACAGTCCACTTATACCCAATTAACCCGATTTGTAGTGCAAGGTCTCTGGGTCCTCCTTGCAATGCCGACTTTATCCGAAGACGTCGAATCAAGTTAATTTGGTATTATTTCTGATTCTGCATTGAAAACTGATTTTCTCAGGTTATCTATGAAAACTATACAATTAAGTGTTCTCATTTTAGTCCTATGTTGTGGGACATTCACATGGGCGTGTGCTGAACCAACGAATTCATCAACACAGAAGACACCTTTGCCTTTTGACAGCAACCGTGCCTTTGATATCTTGAAGAAGCAGTGTGAATTCGGACCGCGTCCACCGGATTCAGAAGCACATCTGAAAACACGGGATTATCTATTCGCGGAACTCAAGAAATATGCTGATACTGTGGCATTTCAACCATACACTTATGAGGTAGACACGGTTAGCGTTCCACCTCAACGAAAAACGCTCCACATGAACAACATCATCGCAGAATTTGGGAGTGGTCATAGTGAGACACTTCTCCTCGCGGCACATTGGGACACGCGTCCCTGTGCTGATAAAGACCCGAATCTTGACAGTCAACGTGAACCGATTCTCGGTGCGAATGATGGGGCATCGGGTGTGGCAGTTTTACTTGAAATCGCGAGAATTCTAAAAGCAACACCACCGCCACGGCGAATTATCATTATTTTGTTTGATGGAGAAGATTACGGAAAAACAACAGAACAAATGTTCCTTGGCTCACGTTATTTCGCGAAAAATATGGGAAAATGGAAACCTAACTACGGTATTCTCTTGGATATGATAGGTGATAAGGATTTGCAAATACCTATTGAAAAATTTTCTTGGGAAGCAAATAGCGAATTAGTGGATATTATCTGGCGACGCGCGGAGAAACTCGGCTTAGACCCATTTCAACGTAAATTAGGTCCTGCTGTTTTGGATGATCATGTGCCGTTAATCCAAGCAGGTATACCAATGGTTAACATCATTGACTTTGATTATCCGTACTGGCATACGCTTGAAGATACAGTGGACAAATGTAGTCCAAGAAGTTTAGGGATTGTCGGAAAACTTGTTATCAACATTATTTATGAAGGACTGTAGCTTAACCAATAATACATTATACCGTTTCTGAATGATGACTTTTCATAAACAAAAAGCGCGTTTAAGCGCAATTCATTGCGCCTCTTATACCAAATTAACGGGATTTGTCTTATTTCCCGGACGGTAGGTTCGGTTTCTAGCCGCACCATAGGCGTCAATTTAGGGGATCCTCCAGGTCCGGTAGGTGCGGTTTCCTAACCGCACCGAGTCGTTCGCGAAAACGGTTATCGGACGCATATTCCATAAGATCCGATGCGGTTAGGAAACCGCATCTACCGGGTTTGGGCTAAGTTCGGTTAGAAACCATACCTACAGATATTCCATAGGACCCGGTGCGGTTAGAAACCGCACCTACCGGGTTTGGGCTAAGTCCGGTTAGAAACCATACCTACAGATATTCCATAGGACCCGGTGCGGTTAGAAACCGCATCTACCGGGTTGGGAACCGCTAAATTGACGCCTATAGTGCGGTTTCCTAACCGCACCGATAGATTGGGAGCAAGTTAATTTGGTATTATACGCAACATAAAATGTGTTTTAAAATGTCCTAAATACTCCATAATGGTAGTTTATTTATCAGAATTAGTATAACGACTGAAAACCGATAAAAACTGTCTGTTTTAGACCATTGCAGTGAAAATTCCTCATATAGAGTAAGAAATCCTACACTCCGCACTTCTGATTTCCGATTTTCGGTATTTATTTCTCAAACCTGCGTGGTCCCTACATTGAGTAAGCAATTTCAGGTGAACTGGAAAAAAAGACAAGTGGATAATAGAATCTATATTCACAACTCAAATCTCCCCTATCCTGTGCGATTCCTTTCGTGACGCGGGTTTGTCGTAAAAATACCAAAATGTGTCAAAACAAGTGCGGAGTGTAGGAGAAATGAATACATATCACAAAAAATACGATGTTATTGTTGTTGGAGCAGGTCATGCAGGATGTGAGGCGGCTCTTGCCGCTGCGCGCATGGGATGCAAGACGCTCATCGTAACCATCAATCTGGATACTATCGCGAAAATGTCTTGCAATCCAGCAATCGGTGGACTCGCAAAAGGGCATATCGTCAAGGAGATAGATGCACTTGGCGGGGAGATGGCAAAGAACATTGACAAGACAGGCATCCAATTCCGCCGTTTGAATACAAAAAAAGGTCCGGCGGTTCGATCCAGTCGCGCACAGGCAGATAAAAAAGCATACCAAGATGAAATGAAGCACGTGCTCGAAAAACAAGAACACCTTGACATAAAACAGGTATTGGTAGAAGAATTGCTCGTTGAAAATGAGCAATGCATTGGGATTAAGAGCCGAACGCAAACCGCATATTATGGGGATGCAGTGATTCTAACGACTGGCACTTTCCTGAGAGGATTAATTCATATTGGAGATGTGTCGTATAGTGCAGGTAGAGCAGGCGAATCCTCCGCTGAGAAGTTGTCAGAAAGTTTTCTAAACCTCGGCTTTGAGATTGGCAGACTCAAAACGGGCACACCACCCCGCGTCAACGCACACACCATTGATGTAAACCAGATGGAAATTCAGCTGGGCGATGAAGATCCGCTTCCGTTTTCTTTCTCTACTGAACGGATTACGCAACCACAAGTGCCATGTTACCTTACCTACACCAATGAAAAAACACACGATGTAATTAAAGAAAATCTTCACCGATCAGCTATGTACAGTGGTCGCATAGTCGGCATCGGTCCTCGCTATTGCCCCTCAATTGAGGACAAAGTTGTCCGTTTTGCCGACAAAACGGAGCATCAAGTCTTCGTTGAGCCGGAAGAATTAGATACCGATGAAATTTACCTCAATGGCATTTCCGCGAGTTTGCCTGAAGATGTACAGGTAGAAATGGTGCATAGTATTAGAGGATTAGAGAACGCTGAGATTATGCGCTTTGGATACGCTGTTGAATATGACTTCGCACCTGCCACACAACTCCAACCAACACTTGAAACAAAAACAGTTCCCGGTCTCTATTTTGCGGGGCAACTTAACGGTACTACGGCTATGAGGAAGCCGCCGCACAAGGACTGATGGCAGGAATCAATGCTGCCTTGAAGGTGAAAGACAAAGAACCCCTTATCCTTGACAGATCACAAGCCTACATAGCCGTTCTCATTGACGATTTGGTTACGCTGGATATCCGTGAGCCTTACCGCATGTTCACATCACGAGCAGAATATCGCTTGGCGTTACGAGAAGATAACGCGGATCTACGACTCACCGAGATTGGAAGAAACATTGGACTCGTTGATGATGACACATACAGCAGATTCCAACAGAAAGCAACATCTATTCAGACAGAACTGAAGCGGTTGGATGAAACGCGTTTGACACCGAACGCAGCAACTGTTGATAAATTGGCAAACATTGTTGAAACTGGTAAGTTAAAACAACCTACATTATTGGCAGACCTGCTCAAACGTCCAGAACTCTGTTATGAACACATAGCCCGTTTGGCACCACCTACCGTCGAGTTACCTCCCGCAATTAAAGAACAGGTAGAGATCCAGATTAAATATGATGGCTACATCCAACGCCAGCAACGACAGATTCATCAGTTCAAAAAATTGGAGAATCTCCGCATACCGGATACATTCAACTATGTAGATGTACACGGGTTGAAGACTGAAGCGCGTGAAAAACTCGAAAAAATTCGTCCTGCTTCTATAGGACAAGCATCGCGCCTTCCTGGAGTTTCACCAGCGGACATCTCAATTTTAATGGTAATGCTACATCAGCAAAACCGATAGTTTAACACAATAGAGGTATTTCGTTACACTGAATTTGAAAAGTTATTCAACTGAAATATGGAGACGCAATTTCGTTATCAACTTGAAGAAGTGTTCAATCGCTACGGATTTCCACTCACAACAGTGCAGTCGAAACAAATGGCAATGTACCGCTCCGAATTAAAAAAGTGGAATAAACATATTAATTTAACCGCACTTCATGACGATTCTGAGGTGATCTACAAACATTTCCTCGATTCTATTAGTGTCCTTGAACATTTTTCTATTGAGGATGGGAAGAAAGTTATTGATATTGGGACGGGTGCTGGATTTCCGGGAGTTGCACTTAAAATCTACAATCCTAATATATGTCTAACGCTTGTTGAAGCCTCCCATAAGAAGGTAGCGTTTCTCAAATATTTGATTTCTCAATTGGGGTTAGATAGCGAAATTCAGGTTTTGTCTAAACGGGCTGAGATTTGTGCTGAAACCGATGAATTTCTGAATGCTTACGATTGGGTGTTGACGCGATACGTCGCTTCACTGGAGAATTCGGCGACATATTGTTTGCCGTTGCTTAATACTACAGGTAGATGGATAGCCTATAAATCCAGTGACATAGATACTGAGATTAGCCAAAGCAAGAAAGGACTACATGAACTTGGCGCAAAAGTAGAAGGGGTGCACACAAGTCGTATTGCGCAACTTAATCGGACCTACGTTGTTGTGAGTCGCGTTAGTGGGCAGAATTAATACCGCTAATGACTTCTACCTATTGCGGTAGATGCGCTTCTGTGATAACGTGTATACACAATTAACAGGATTTGTCCTATTTTCCGGACGGTAGGTGCGGTTTCCTAACCGCACCTTATGCGTCAATTTAGGGATCCTCCAGGGCCGGTAGGTGCGGTTTCCTAACCGCACCGAGTCGTTCGCGAAAACGGTTATCTTGCACATATTCCACAGTATCCGGTGCGGTTAGAAACCGCACCTACCAGGTGGGGGCTAAGTTCGGTTAGAAACCGCACCTACCGGGTTGGGAACCGCTAAATTGACGCTAATGGTGCGGTTTCCTAACCGCACCGATAGATTGGGATCAAGTTAATTTGGTATTAGTTTGTTTGGCAGTATCAGTTCATTAGTGAAGGAGTTTTATGCAATGTTTGATATTACAACGGACGTTCAGAATATAGCAGTTGTCCACGTTCAAGGGAAAATTATAGGTAGTACAGTTGATCAGTTTCAAAAGGAAATTGATCAACAACTACGAAATGGGAATAACAAACTGATTATCGATCTGAAGAACGTCCCACTCCTTGACAGTACTGCGCTTGGCGTCATTATTGTGGCATTTCAAGTTTTGCAAAGATCAGGTGGAAAATTGGTTCTACTAAATCCACAGAAAGCAGTCAGCAGCGTATTGGAAGTTACACGTCTTACGTCAGTTTTAGAGGTGTATGATTCCGAAGAAGCCGCGCACAACGCTCTTTCGTAAGTTGGGAGATTGAAAATATAGCATTAAATAAAGTGGTGTGAGTTTCTGAGCGGAGGCAATGAAGGTTACTTCTATAGGGGAGCAGGGATGAAAGATAAAAAACCTGCAATACGTTCTTGGTTTGAGTTAGGACTACGCGGTCAACAGGTCGTGATGTTTCTGCTTGTTTCGCTTACGCCGTTATTAGTAGTTTCACTAACTATCAAGGTGTTGGGTGGAAACGCTTTAAAAAGCAGTGTCAGTGATGGATTAGTACTACTTGCACGAGAGAAACTTTACAGAGTGGATCGGGCTATTTCGCATAGAATTGAAAATATCAGGAGAGAAATCCCAAACATTTATTCAGAGGTTGTTCCGTCTAACAATGCTAAAGATGACATCAATGTGTTATGGGATGTACGGGAAAATTTAGAGGATAGTTTAAGGTTGTTAGAGACTTATGTTGGTGGCTATAGAAGACGCGGTTATAGAAGTATACGTGAGGTAACAATAACTAATGCCGAAGGATATGTTTTACGGTCAAGCAACCGTGCGCTTGATTACAATAATGAACATGAGTTACCGACCCAAGTTAGCGACCAAGATTGGTGGGACAAAGCATTCTACAACGGTATAGGTTTTGATTACGCTGAGGATGTCAAGTTTGATGCGGCACTGTCGGTACATTTTCTTACAGTCGCATTTCCAATACGACGGGGAAGATCAAGATTAAGACCTTCTTCAAACACTGAAAACAACGTGGCTGGAGTAATTAAGGTTGTTCTCCTGCTACCAGAACTATCCAGTGTGGTAGAAATACTGCCAGAAATGGAAAAAACGTATACGATTCTGACGACTGGATCCGGAGAAATAATTGCTGTTTCACCAGAGAGTAACTATGATATTGGTCAGAATATATTAACCGAAGATGCAGCAGCAGAGGCAACTATTCAAGCAAAAAAAGGGGATAAAGGGGATTACTATGGCTATGAGGCAGATGGTGAAACAGATCGTTTCAATGAATCCCGTGTATATGGATGGGCGAGGACACAACGAGCAAGATTAAGACTTTGGAAAGGTGAACATAATTTCACCAACTGGATCGTTTTTGTTTCTTATCCAAGTTCAAAAGCGTATGCGGGTGTGGCTAAACTAAATCAGTATGTCTTTTGGGTAACCATTTTATCGTGTATTATCGTTGTACCTATCGCTTATGCTGTCGCACAGCAAATTTCACTACCAGTGATGCAGCTTGCACAGACAGCAAAACGTATCGGGCAAGAAGCAAAAGAGGTAGTCCAAGAAGAGTCCGATCAAATCCGTAAACAGATAGCAAATATGCAATGGTACCAAAATGAGGAATCCGAACTCATCTCTGTCAGCAGCAAGAACGAAGTCGGTATACTGGCACAAGAATTCAACGAAATGTACCGCAATCTGAAGATCGCCGTTGAGAAACTCATCAGTGCAGAACAACAGATGACAACAATCGTTGATTGTCTCAGTGAAGGACTCATTGTCGTTGATACGCAAGACCAGATCCTTTATTTTAACCCAGCTGCGAGGCATCTGCTAAACCATGACGAGACCTCAGAGTTCCCGAATCGTCTGACCGAATTGCTACGCGCCACCAATCTAACTGTGTTGGCGGATGCACATGGGCAAGATGCACGCACAAACGTCGAAGTTAACTTAGATCAAGAGGGAGAAAATCGTGTTCTCCGTGTAGTGACAAGTCAATTTATGTCGATTAGCGTGCCAGTCAATGGAAATGGTCTATCTGATGAAAATGCCGATATAGCGGGAACGGTATACGTCTTTAACGATATAACGCGTGAACATGAAATTGACAAAATGAAGTCCGATTTTGTGGCACTTGTATCACACGAATTGCGCACACCACTGACTTCAATCATTGGATTTATAACGCTGATACTTGATGGGAAAACAGGACCCCTTAACAAAGTTCAGCAACAAAGCTTGACACGCGCACACCGCCAGTCTAAACGACTCGCAATGATGATTAATGATTTGCTTGATATTTCACGTATTGAAGCAGGACGCATTGTGATGAAACTTGAACCGGTAGACGTTGCTGAAATCGCCAAGCAACGGCTTGAGGAACTCAAACCGCAAGCTGACGAGAAGACAATTGAGTTGAACTTGAACGTTCAATCCGATTTGCCCGATCTAAACGGGGACGCGGAATACCTCGGTCAGATTTTCACCAATCTTATTGGAAACGCAATAAAATTCACACCATCAGACGGTGAAGTAAAGGTTAAAGTATTCCGCAAGGGTTATCCGAGAGAAGAGGATCGCACGGGTGATGCAAACGAAAACGATGGGATTCATGTTGAGGTGATTGACTCGGGACCTGGCATCCCTGCTGAGGACCGAGAAAATGTTTTCGACAAGTTCCGACAACTTAGCAATATTCAAACTCGGGAACAGGGCGGCACCGGTTTAGGGCTTTCAATCGCACGAGGATTCATTGAAGCGCATAAAGGGAAAATATGGGTAGATGCAGGAGAAAATGAAAAAGGTTGCAACTTTCAATTCTGGATTCGGTTTTTATCATAAGAGATATTTTCACAACTGTTTGTAGTGTAAGGTCCCTGGGTTTTCCTCGCAATGCGAACCTTATCAGAAGGTTTCAAATTAAGTTAATTTGGTATTACATTGGCAAAAACCTGTTTTATAGTCCAATCTAAAATTACCTGGACAGTTCTCTATAGATTAGAGGCGTTTGTAGTCGCGCAATTCATTGCGCCTCTTATATTACATGAGGAAACCGTTTGAATTCGCTATGACACGCAAATGTCCAAATAATTATAGGCTTACTATAAATAACATCGGGTATAGGTAGTTCAATAATTAAGCAATACTATCAGAATCTCTAAACACTTAAGGTAAAGTTATGTCTGAAACAATTATAGTACCTGAAACCACACAATCAACTGAAACTATTTTAGTAATTGATGATGATACCGATATTCTTGCACTACTTGAGATGAGTTTAGTTTCAGATGGGTTCAATGTTGTTACCGCAAACAATGGTATAAGTGGGCTTCAAAGTGCCAAAGCAAAACAACCAGATCTCATTTTGCTTGATGTCATGATGCCGCAAATGGATGGCTTAGAGGTTATCAAGAAGTTGAAGGAAGATGCAGAGACACGCGCAATTCCCGTCCTATGGTTGACAGCAAAGTCACAGACTGCAGACAAGTTACGAGGTTTGGAAATTGGTGGCGACGATTATATTACAAAGCCTTTTGATTTACGAGAGGTGACTGCTCGGATTAATGCAGTTTTAGGGCGAACACGCCTAGTGAAATACATCAATCCATTAATTAATGCTATGGGAGACAGTTTCAGTGAAGCGGGTGTAGCAGAACTCGGATCAGATCTCCAAGCTGCTGCCGAAATTCAAATGAAGTTGCTTCCTGACAAACCGCCAGTTTGTGCTACGTTTGACTTTGCTACCATGTTTAAAAGTTCAACCTCTGTTTCTGGCGACTTTTACGATTTCATTCCACTTAGTGACACACGCCTTGCTATCGTTTTAGGAGATGTAAAAGGACATGGAATACCAGCAGCACTACTGATGGTAATGATACAGACTGCCTCGCGTTTGTTAAGTAATGAGGCTAACTGTCCAGCGACGGTTCTAAAACGCATTAATACCTTACTTTTTCATAATACAGATCTCGAACAATTTGCTACGATGGTATACGGTATATTAGAAATAGACACAGGAAAGTTTACTTATACCAACGGCGGGCACTGTCCCCCAATCCATTTCATAACAGACATGGAAGATGCCAAGAATCCCGCAAAAAGTAAGACTCAGATTGAGTTACTTGAAACAGGTGGGATGCTGATAGGGGCATTTGATATCGCGACTTTTTCATCCGAAACCTGTCTATTATCTCCAGGAGATGTTCTTTTACTTTATACCGATGGGGTGACCGAAACAGAGGGGAGAATACCAAACGACTTCTATGGAGAAGAACGTTTGATTGAATGCTTCTCGAAAAACCTAACGTTATCCGCTGAATCTCTTTGTGATGTCCTTCAATCAGACCTGACAGAATTTAGCGGTACAACACAACTAAAAGATGACCGCGCTGTAGTTGTAATTAAGTGTACTGATGATTAGATAACCCCAATGTCATAGTCAATTGCGTCGTATCAAAACGCATACCAGACGTTGATTAAGTGGAATCCATTTACCAGATCCAGCGCGGAAGTTTGCATTCGCAAGGAAGGAGTCTAACTCGTGGGCGAGAAAAATCAATGGAGAATTTTCCTTTCTCTCCCAAGCACAATGCAGTTGATTTATCTAATTGACACTGTTATCAGCGATATTCTGAGAGAGATGAAATTTGATGAAGAGGCACAAGAGCATGTGAACCTCGCTGTCATTGAAGCAGGGACAAACGCAATCAAGCACGGCAATAAAGAAGACTTAAGTAAGACCACTACATTTGAGTTTCTTATTGACGATGAAAAACTTACGATTGTTATTACTGATGAGGGACCTGGGTTTCAACGCGAAGATGTCGCGAATCCGCTTGAACCGGAGAACCTGCTAAAAAGTAGTGGACGAGGGATTTTCTTGATGGAAGCCTGCATGGATGAAGTTGAATACGAGGCTGGAGGCACTATCGTCAAGATGATAAAATATAAGCAAAATCCTAATTTGTAGTGCGAAGTCTCTGGGTTCTCCTCACAATGCGAAACTTTATCAAAAGACCTCTAATCAAGTTAATTTGGTCCAATACCCAATTATCCCGATTTGTAGTGTGAGGTCCCCGTGCTTCACAATGGAGATCTCCTTTATCGGAAAACTTCTAATCAAGTTAATTTGGTCCAATACCTCCAGAGAGCCAAGGTTAGTGTTAAGTTTTTAGGAACACATGCAGTCCCATCACTCAAAATGTGTTGTGCTTTCAGGGAAATGAACAGTCAAGAAAAAAGGAGTTTTATGCAAATCAACATACGGAATAAAGGGAGCGTTACTATATTAGATATTGAGGGGAACCTCGTTGGTCCTAATACAATCGCACTGAAAAACATCATTGATGACCAAATTCAAGTGACGGGTGAGGATCCAGTGTTTATGGTCTTAAATATGGAACGAGTCCGAGATGATGGATAGTTCCGGGTTAGGTGTAATTGTTGCTGCTTATGCTTCTATTAGTCATAATAATGGCAGAGTGGTGCTACTTAATATTGGCGGGAACATTAGAAGCCTAATCGTTATGGCAAAACTTGTGACAATATTTGACCGATACGACACTGAAGCAGAGGCGATTGCAAGTTTTCTCTAATGATAACGTACCTTTGAGCAATTTATGTCGTGAAAGTATAAGTAAATATAAGTAAATCTTAGACGTACCTAATGGATTTAATAATGGAAGCAGCGCGAAACACTGAAATCCCTGAGGATAATATCAGTTTGTGGCAAAAATGCACACACTGTGCTGAGGTGTCTTTTCGAGGTGAATTAGAACGGAACGATTTTATCTGTCCGAAGTGTAAGAAACTATTTGTTCTGTCAATTGAGAATCGACTTAAACTCCTTAAGGAGGACGTCTCTTCTGATACTACAGAACAGTCTTCAAATGAGACGAATACTGAAGGTGTAATTACCGTTGATGTAGTCTAGTATTGAAGAGAACATTGCAGGGTATCCGGTTAGTCTGTTTATTTTAGATCCTAATTCTTCACTGGAACAGAGACATCTGACAGTGTTTTCCGATGCAATCGCATGTGCATTGGAGAAATCTATTCCAATTCTTTCTGTGTTTACTGCAAGTCCGATTGAAACGCAATGTTCATTTTCTGATATTGTGCCTCTTTTTTTACAGTTGGAACAATTAGCACAAGCATCCCTGCCACACCTTACTATTTTGACAGAAACAGATGTAGGTCAGCTTACTTCACATTTACCAGTTGGTGAAATAGTGTTAGCGGAGTGTACCTCGCGAATGGACAACTTAGTCCGTATCCATCCGCAACCAGCATTACATGCACCTGAAGAGCAGCTCCTACCTGAGAAGAACCGTGAACTAACGCCAGACACACCGGACATTTGTGTGGACTGTTATATCCCACGTCCTGAGTTGCACGAAGTGTTAGTACGATTGTTAAAGTTTTTCGCACCTTCCCCAATAATTAATTGAGTATAGACAGCCAAAGTAAGATTCACCCACGGAAGAAATCGCATGAGTCAGAAAGAGTCTATTTTAAGCGATAGATTAGAACAGGAATTTAACGTACGTTTCGGACATCAGCCAGAGTTCATCGTATCTGCACCAGGAAGGGTCAACCTTATCGGTGAACATACAGATTATAATGATGGTTATGTATTTCCTGTGGCAATTGATAAATACCTTAACATCGCCGCCAGCAAACGTTCTGACCGACAAGTGCATCTTCACGCCTTAGATATGGATGAGGAATGTATCTTCAGTTTGGACACACCTGATGATGCTGAAACGCCCGCTTGGAGCACATATCTCAAAGGTGTCGCACACTTATTACAAGAACAGGTTTTACAAGAGGTTGGGCATACACTGAAGGGTATGTCTGCCGTAATTACTGGAGATGTCCCTATTGGCGCAGGGTTAAGTTCCTCCGCTGCGCTTGAAGTCGCCTCATCACTCGCTTTTTTGGGCGTATGTGGTCTTGAGATAGATGGCACAGGTATAAATTCTAATGATGAGATTGCATTGATTGAACTCCAGCCTACGGAATTAGCCGCGTTGTGTCAACGTGCTGAAAATGAATTTGTTGGTGTCAACTGTGGTATAATGGACCCTACGATCTCGTTATTAGGAAAAACGGACCACGCGCTGTTTTTAGATTGTCGTTCGCTTGAATACAAGCAAGTTCCACTCAACTTAGTGGATATGTTGCTCGTAATTTGTAATACCAACGTCAAACGTGAACTCGCTTCTTCAGAGTATAACAAGCGGAGAGCAGAATGTGAAAAAGGTGTTGAGATTCTTCAGCAATGGATGCCTTCTATTACATCGCTACGGGATGTAACTTTGGAAGATTTCAAAAAATATGAAGCAGAACTACCGCAAATTACACAAAAAAGATGTAGGTATGTCATTGAAGAAAACACGCGGGTACAAAGTGCGGTTATCGCACTCACAACCAAAGACATTAGCACCTTTGGCACTCTCATCATGAATGCCTCACACGCAGGTCTACGCGACGCTTATGAAGTCAGTTGTGATGAATTAAATGCACTAACAGAGATCGCGGGCAAGTCTTGTGATGGCGTTCTTGGCGCAGAGATGACATGGGGCGGGT